TTTACAGTCATTCGGGCGTCTGCCATGTAGACCTTTGACAATGCGGGCCCACATAGAAAAACCTCTCCGCGCTTCACCTAGAACACTCACTCCGCTCTCCGTGTAGTCGTCTCCACCGTAGCAAGGAGGTGGTGTCGCCGCCCCGCCCCATCGGCAGTCCGGGAGTCAGTGGCGCCCAGTTGTCGTCAAAGAGGAGCCGCCCTCCTCACCCCATCGGCGGTCTGGGGCGAGCGGCGCCCGGCCGCCGTGTAGAAGGAGGAGTCGCGCTTCCCGCTAATCTCCAAGGCGTGCGCTCGCCTTGCCTGCTACCTCGGTGGCGCCATCAAGGAGAAGCAGCCTCCTTGCCCGGTCATTGAGCAGAAGCAGGGGTTGCACTCCCCGGTGATCTCTAGGGCACACAACCGCCTCGCCTACTACCTCGATGGTGCCGACGTTGGCTCATCCTCCACAGTGACGGCGACCTCCGGGGTGGCGCGTTCAGAGTGGCACAACGCGCGGTGTTGGAAATCTTTCGTGTGGTTGGATGTCGCGCGGATCCAATGCTCGTGGAGTCCTGGGCCATTGATCGGTCCAGGACAATCATGTAGAGCTCCACACGTTGTAGTCTTCGGATGAGCGACTAACTCCTCAAAGTGGGACTGGTCGAGTCTGAATGCTTGGCCACCTCTAAGGCAATGACAGGCGGTGCCAGGCGGACTCCGCGACCGGTTGTTGCCACCAGGAAGAGGTGACCAGGCATCTGTGCCAGGCGAAGGCGGTCGAGCGGTTGTGCCGCGAGCGTCCATCGATGGTCGATCAGAGCTGTTGTGATGCCTAGCAGGCCTTCCGTCACTAGAAGGATGACGATGGAGGTGCCAATGGCCTTGGTGCTATGCCTACGAGGTCACCGTCCGGTACCTTGCTTAGCTTAGTTTAGGTTTACTTAAAATTTCATTTGGTTTGGTTAAAACTTTGTTAAATTTTGTTTGTTTTGGTTGTAATATCAAGATTTAACAAATATTGTTTGGTTTAGCATGAATTTCGTCTTTTTCTTAAGATCCGTTTTAAATTGGATGGACGTATGATGCTTGCTGTTGGATGGCCTCCACCCCTAAATTTGTCCGCAAACAAGTTTGAACGTGCCCATAGACATTTGTTGAAACCCATTCTCGCGATCCATGGGCCTGTTTTGATAATCCGCGTCGGAGTTGCCCTAAACTACTACTCTCTCTGTTCACTTTTGTAAGATGTTTTAGACATTTAGGACAACATCTAAAATAGTTTAATTTCAGCTGTCTTAAATGTCTTATAAAAGTGAACAAAGAAAGTATGCTATTTGGTCCCGCGTATCCTCGTTCACAAGTTAAGTTAGGAAGAAGAAGACCCGATTGGTGGAATGGAATGGAACCAGGCCCAAAGGGGCCTCTCGGCGTGCCCAAAAGCAGCCGACCGACCCCAATCTCAGCTCCCCGCGTGAAAGATAGCTCCTTTGCACCACCCGCATGAGGCACACGCACGCAGCACGCTGCACCACCGTGAAGCTGCATGCACATCACTCACCCGCTCAAGATACAGCCTGCGCTCGCTGGGACAAAATAAGAAGGCAAACAGGTGCAGATAGCAGGCGTGCTCTACTCTATTCCCAGCATGGCAGCCAAGTGTAGCAATGATTGCGAGTTACAACGCCAATTAGTATGTACACAACAACCGTGTGACAATTTTAGGACTCCGTTGATTCAAAGGAATTCTATAAGATTTTTAGAAGATTATAACCCTTAGGAATTTTTTCTAGATTTGTCTTTTTAGTTTGTAGGGTTGAATCCTGTAAAAAAATCATCAAGAATCATTTGTATTACATTTCATAGGATATCTTACATCCATTCCAAATCCTTCTTTTATAATTCATTTGTTTTTTCTGTGCCATCAAACACACTCTGTTAATCCTATATGATTCAAGTGGACATGTCCCCTAAAAAAAGTGGACATGTCACTCCAATCCTATATTTATTTTTTTATTCCTGCGTTTTGAGAATCCTGCAAAAGAAAGAGGCCCTCGATGGCAACGTTTCAGTCCACAACATGTTTGATGCGGCCACGATTAATGTGAGTGTTCTCAATGTTTATAAAAGTTTTCCACAGGTCAATGAATTAGAGCGCAGAGATTTATACGTACCAAAATACAATAGTTTTGGTGAGAACTACCAGGAGAAGGTTGCATGCCTAGTTGAAGTCATGTGCATGCATTCTAGTTGGTTGCATGGTACGGATCAAGCAAAGAAAGGTCGGCTACATGCATGCATGCCAGTTTACCAGGGAAACAAATTACTAGGAAGGCAATATACACGGGACTTCTATAAGTATGAATCATTAAGTGATGAAGCTTCTTTTTCTGAGATCCCGAGAGCACCAGCACAGATATTGCGTCAAGAAATTGGGAAACAAACACATATATATTTTAATCAGAAGGAAATCAAAGATTGCATCGGTTGTTAAAAATAGAGACCGGAATTACTACTACTTCTGTTGGGGTCGACCACCAGAAAAGATCACGAGCATCAGGAAGTTACTCACGTGGATTTTTACATGTTTAAAGGAGATTGGATGGGGCCCACCAAGCTTGCCGATCCTGGAGTTAGTTTAAACTAAGAAAGAGTCTACAGATTAGGAAATATGTGTACGTGTGTCTTTTGGAAACCTTTTAGGTGTGCGTGTGTTTCAGGTTGGCTACTTCTATAAAGCCTAGGTGTGCGTCATTGTAGAGGGGTCAGGTTATTATTATATGAAATAGACACTATGTGTTTTTCAGGGTAGATACCCGTATCAAGTTTTGGAGGGATCTTTAGAAAACCTCTGTGTTGCGATTTCTTTTTATGAAAATTGTTTTGCGCGTGAGTACCTTCGTCGAGATTGGTTGGGCCGCAAGGTTCAAATCCTCTACTTCGTGTACATCGCGTGTGCGGGCGAGAGGTTGCTACTGCTGGTGGTGGAGTGTCGTGAAAGATCGGACCGCAACAACGGATCGGATCTCGCCACGAGGTTCGGTCTACATCAGGTGGTATTCAGAGCATCAGGTTGTTCACGACACTATGGAGAAGATGGCGAGCGCATCGTTATTCAGCAAGTTAAGCTATGGATTTCAGTTGGAGGAGGAAGGTCGATGGGATTGGTTGTTTCATACTCGTGTTGTGGTACAGGAGAGATCATGTGCCATGACAATTGACCACATGAGTTTGATCAACGCTGCAAGCATCAAGATGGTGGAGAAGCTAGATCTAGCAATGACACCACGAGCACAACCATACTTGTTTTGTTGGCGTCATGAAGATCTCAGTGTCACACATCAAACAAAGGTACCGTTTTTGCTAGGAAAATATTTTTGCACGGTTTTGTGTGACGTGATTCCGGCACCGATGGTTTCATGTCACTTATTGTTGGGCAAGTCATGGTACAAAGAACATGATGTTGTGTATGATTGTCAAACGCACATATATACCGTCAAGAAGGGTAAGAAGTATGACCTCGTGCCCATGGGTCTGGATCGTTTTATTGCTTGGAGGGAAGAACATCTTGAGAAGATAAAAGAGCAAGAAGAAGAAGAAGAGAAGAAGGTCGAAGGTGCTAAAAATTTGACGGTCATCGTTCAATCTGCACATGAAGATATTACTGAAGAGATTGACTCGAAACCGAGGACGGTTTGGCTTCAAGGAGGAGAGGATGATGCGGCCACGATTAATGTGAGTGTTCTCAATGTTTATAAAAGTTTTCCACAGGTCAATGAATTAGAGCGCAGAGATTTATACGTACCAAAATACAATAGTTTTGGTGAGAACTACCAGGAGAAGGTTGCATGCCTAGTTGAAGTCATGTGCATGCATTCTAGTTGGTTGCATGGTACGGATCAAGCAAAGAAAGGTCGGCTACATACATGCATGCCAGTTTACCAGGGAAACAAATTACTAGGAAGGCAATATACACGGGACTCCTATAAGTATGAATCATTAAGTGATGAAGCTTCTTTTTCTGAGATCCCGAGAGCACCAGCACAGATATTGCGTCAAGAAATTTGGGAAGCAAACACATATATATTAATCAGAAGGAAATCAAAGATTGCATCGGTTGTTAAAAATAGAGACCGGAATTACTACTACTTCTGTTGGGGTCGACCACCAGAAAAGATCACGAGCATCAGGAAGTTACTCACGTGGATTTTTACATGTTTAAAGGAGATTGGATGGGGCCCACCAAGCTTGCCGATCCTAGAGTTAGTTTAAACTAAGAAAGAGTCTACAGATTAGGAAATATGTGTACGTGTGTCTTTTGGAAACCTTTTAGGTGTGCGTGTGTTTCAGGTTGGCTACTTTTATAAAGCCTAGGTGTGCGTCATTGTAGAGGGGTCAGGTTATTTTTATATGAAATAGACACTGTGTTTTTCAGGGTAGACACCCGTATAAGTTTTGGAGGGATCTTTAGAAAACCTCTGTGTCGCGATTTCTTTTTATGAAAATTGTTTTGCGCGTGAGTACCTTCGTCGAGATTGGTTTTCTCATGCTGGGCCGCAAGGTTCAAATCCTCTACTTCATGTACATCGCGTGTGCGGGCGAGAGGTTGCTACTGCTGGTGGTGGAGTGTCGTGAAAGATCGGGCCGCAACAACGGATCGGATCTCGCCACGAGGTTCGGTCTACATCAATGTTCGTGCTCCCCCGCAGTAAAAAAAAGACACATCATGTTCGTGTTGATAATATTTTCATCTCGGCTGTTTTCCTCATCCACCCCTTTGGGTCCATAAACCGTGTACACTATGCACCAACAGTGAGCAGAGTACCAAAACCTGGACTGGCAAACGAGCAGACTAACAACAATAGCTCCACCCAAAACACTCGCTAGCTCCAATCCCGAGAGCATACGCCCTAACATGATCGTCCAAGTTCTAATCTAGCTTGTCCATAGTCCATACAATAGATACCCTCGGCTCTGACAACGTCCAGTTCAGCCCCTGCGACTGCAAGCTCAAAGGCCTAACCTGCACATTGTCAAACCTCAACAATTATACACAAAACATCTTAGGTAGGGTTGAAATGAAATGAACGCAAATATAGTGCCTGGCAATTACACAGTGGAAAATCTTACTAAGTATTCGAAGTCCAGTGCACAACTTCACATTCCACCGGGGCCTCTGACTCCAGCAACCTTGTCCCAATCCTCAGGGGAGAGCATGTCAGACATGTACTTCTCCTGCCCGCGCCAAAGGATCTGACATCATACAACATTAAGTATTTGCTCATTTTCCTAGAGCAAGACTCCATGCAACCCCGCACATCTTCGCATGCTACCATCCCGTGTGCAACTCAGAAAGCCCATAATAATACAATGTGCAATCTTACTATCGTGCCTAAACAATAAATAAAATGTAACACTCCAAACTCATGCTTATCAGGTCACCCTTTTTGGTGCACTCATCCAACTATATGTAATTCTTAACGTACTCTACCTAATAATACCTGTGAAAAGATTCGAGTTCAAATTCATTATTCACTGAATTTGACATTTTACTGGAAACTCTACATGGCACATCAACGTGTGCTTCTCCAGAAATTTTCATGTTAATTTGGTGCCCAAACTGGACGTTGACTGGAAGAGTGCACCAGAAACTAAGGTTGCTTATGTTGCCTTGGATAAAGAGATTAAAATACCTTGTCAATTACCCCAAACTCCTTGGCTTTCAAAGAGTCCATATAAAATGGTCCTCTCATCACCTTGTCTATTTTCTCTGGTGGCTGATAAAGAACTGTTATATCCCAACTGAAAAAGGAAAAAAAATAAAGTTCTCTACAAGTAAATGATTACAAGTTGTACGTACATTTCCAGTGTGCCTTGCTAAAAGTTTGACCAGGGTGTTCCTGTTGTGCACGACCTACAGTAAGCAACTAGAGGTATTAATTCTCGACTCAAGATGAACCATGAATCTGGGAAATGATATAACTTTATGCGGAGGAGCATATATTACCATACCAGGAACCAGATAATATAAAAAAATTGTCATCTCTCATGACTTAGCAAATGGTTTAAATTCCAAAAATTAATGGCACAGGCAATAATTGCATGACCACATCAACATTGATTGGATTCATATTTCATTATTGAGGTATTCAAACCTTCCATGTTTGTTTTACTGAAGTAATAAAAGTGACAAAAGACCCAAAGTGGTGGGACCCTTCCCCGGACCCTGCACAAGCGGGAGCTACGTGCAGTGGGCTGCCATTTTAATGAAACTAAATGCTTAATCACATGCTCAGCAGTTGCTAGCGTACATGTTTGATTCAAGAGTACAAGCTAATTAGAAATGAAATCACAGCTCCTACCTCTTTTGCACGAATAACAACATCAGAAGCTTGCATCATCCCATATGAAGGAATACGAGGTTGCTGAATCAAAGCTGACATGAAAGTACATTTTCTGTTGTTAGAAAGAATCAACCAACAGAAAATCTGATCCATAGTCCCTCCACTTTACTACCTTTGGCATGGGGAAACATATATCGTTTGCCTTTCTTCCCTGCTGCAAGGACAAGGCAGGCATGACCTGCTGCAGCTCCTATACAAAGTGTGTGAACCTACAGAGCAAATAGTACCATCAAGTTAGTGTCTACAGAATTTACAGAGTACAAAAAACACTAATGGTCAATTCTACAAACACAGACAGCTCATCCTAATATTATGTCAATGATTTCTTGCCCAGTTCAAAACATCAGGGGAACATAGAGGTGCAACCCACCATGAGAGTACACAGGCGAAATGATTCTAATACATCAAATATATGTTTTGTTGCTTCTAAGACACTTCGAAGACATAAAAACCAGCATATTCATGTTAATTTGGTGCCAGTTTGAACTATCACACCTTAAGCGTGGTTGACCTAATATTTTGCCAAACATCAGTACGAATAAGTGGCCAGTTATATATTAGAACCAACTTCTTGCTGAATATATGCATAAATAATGAGACAAAGCCGCTTCATCTTTAACATGTTCCGGATAGTTTTAAAAAGTGATCAAAGACTATTCATTAACAAACTGGCCATTCTATCTGGTTATTGGTCACTAGCAAACCATAATACTTTCTGGAAGATTAGAACACAAAAATAAATAAGTGTAATAATTAATATTGAACTGCTAAAGTACATGCAGTAAATGCAAAAGATGGTACCTCAGTTTTCATCCGCATCATGGCATCATAGATAGCAAAACCTTCTGTCTCCATTCCAACCTAATTTATTCAAGAAACTTCACTAAGAACAATGACCATCATGACGATGAATAATAACGCAACAGGAGACGTCATAATTTGTCACATTTATCATGGCATAAGTAAGCCATATTAAATATGATACTTAATCACAGTATTAGAGAGCACACACGACAATGAATCATGAACTGAAGAAGATAAACTTGCTTACTGGTTCACCATCATCACGAGCCGTTCCTGTTGAGTTGATGTATATATATGCAGGCTCACTACTATTCATCCAATCAAGGTACATCAACTGGGCAACAATAAGCTCGGTAACTGCTGGCACCAACTACCAAAGCAAGAAGAGATAATCTCATGAGGTTATTAGTTCTGATAGTCTCATAATAACATATATTATAGCATGTTCTACAAAAACAATTTGCTAAGCATCTATGATAAAGCTACCATTTGAACACCTGCAGGATTTTCAAGTACTCCCTCCGGTCCTTTTTAGTCTGCATATAAGTTTTGTCTAAAGTCAAAGTATCTCTACTTTGACCAAACATATAGAAAAAAGTATCAACATTCATAATGCCAAATCAATATTGTTAGATTCGTTATGAAATGTAGTTTCATTAGTATATATGTTTGGTATTATAGATGTTGATATTTTTTCATATAAATTTGGTCAAACTTTGCGATGTTTGACTTGACACAAATCGAATACGCGGAGTAAAAAGGGCCGGAGGGAGTACACTGAAAACAGACGTCGACCTAGCATCAAATCACAGGATTTAGCAAACTACATTAAGAAAGGCAATTCAAGAGCAGCTCAACATACAAGGGAAGTGAGACAACATCCACATAGGACAAACTAATGAATATTCTTTTCCACAGTAATGTGGAAAAAGTAGAGGGTCAAACTGTGAGTGAATGCACGAAATGTTGCCTTTAGAGCCACTACTGGATACTGGGTACATGGAAGAAACTATGCTACGAGCAATATGTATCCTGGAATCAGAAGTATCTAATTTAACAAAAGGGACATTTGATTTAACATGTCCTCTATACTGGCAGCAGTGAGATCTGTATCGCACTAGCGCCATTACAGAAAATCAGGAGAACATTTGCAAAATAATAGGTTTAGTGTACAAATTATAACAAAATCAGAGATACACAGGTAGCAAATCCCAACCTTATGCCTGATTAAGCAATATAAAAGTTAATAACCTATTCAAATTGCAAACTAAATTTTAAATACTGAATGATGGTAAGAATTAAGACAACAGGCTAGTGAGGAGCAAAACTTTGTTAAACTCTATAGTCTATAATCAGTGCATTGGTGACTGCCTGACGGGCTTTGCCAAACAGGGCTCATAGTATTGCAGTCTGTCTTTTTATTTTTGACGTATGCAGGAGATAAAATACATAGCACGAGCTGGTAAAGGTCAGTTCCTCACATCTATTACAACAGTTGTTTCAGTGGCTGTCTGTCTGATAGCTCAGGATATAACATTGCATCAAATTATTTATATTTTATCCAGGCTAGTTGATTCACTCATACATACTTATCAGCATATTTGGAATCCACAAATTAAAAATAGAAGAATACCACAAAAAGCTTTCCTACTGAACTTTGGTGCAGATTCATACCGGCATGCCAATATAAACAATCCGGCCATGTAGAAGCAACGACGGCAAATCCGGGGGAGGCCTTCTAGGACTGTGCTGACTGTAAGAGCTGCTAGAACGTTCCACCTGCCAATTTGACAATTGCAGTTAAGCGGAGCACAGTTTGCAATAAACTCCTGCATATCAAAGATCAAGGTCCGCATATGTAAACTTTAGCAATTTCAGAAGTAAAGCACAAAGGCATTTATATGCAAGGAAGCAGATTCACAGATTGGAACCTCAGTGTCCAACATGATATGTGTACTCGTCTGAGTAAGTTTGTATAATCACATACTCCCTCCGTTCCTAAATATAAGTCTTTGTAGAGATTCAACTAGATGGACTACATACGGAGCAAAATGAATGAATCTACACTTAAAATGCATCTATATACATCCATATATGATTCATAGTGAAATCTTTACAAAGACTTATATTTAGGAACGGAGGGAGTAGTAGATATATGTTTTGCTAGTAAGTTATTACTCCTATTTCAATGGGGATAGCAACCTAATTAACACATGTTAGCTGGCACTGAGCAGAGCCTTGACATGTGTTACGACTTACGACATGGATCACATAACTCTGACAACCACTAACAAAATGGAAAAGAAAAACAATTCCAAGAAATGGTTTGCACGTAGTATTAGTCCCCCCAAATGAGCACCAAGTTTCAATTTCAGCTTCTTTCTTCCATTTCTATGTGTGTGGTGAGACCAGCATCGTACTATCATACTACCGCAGCTCCATTAGCGCTGCACATACAAGCACGACGAAAGTGAGCGCGAAAGCACTAAATCACCTGCGCGGGCGAGGACATGAGCTTGGCGTTCTGGAAGATCTCGAGGAACGGCAGGTGGTCCTCGCCGCGGCGTTCGCTACCCGCAGCTGCCGCGAGCTGCTCTGGAGAAGCAGCGGCTAGCGTGGATAGGAACGGGTCGCCCCTCGGGTTGAACAACGGCGACGGAGCCCCCGCCGCCGACCCGGCAACACGCGCCACGAGGGTAGAGGACGGCAGACTGCACCTTCCGGACCGGACTAGGGGATTCGGGAAGAATGGGGACGACGTCGCGGTGGGCGGGGAGGGGGTAGGGAGGCGTAGGGAGAGGAAGGAGGAGGCCATGGTGCCCGGTGGTGGTGTTACCCGGCCGCGGCGTGCGAGCGAGCTCAGGGGAGTGGTGTCTGTGGATAATTTGGTATTTTGGTTGGAGCTGAAGCCGTAACTGCCGTCTGTTTGCTCCGGGCCTTGGCCTTTGAAGGAGGGCATGGGCTGAACCTTGGGGCCTTGTGGGCTGAGTATGTTCTTAGAAATATTGGTAAAACAAATTTAACCATTAAAAGAAATATTTCTACCCTCAAAAAAATTAAAAGAAATATTTCTAAAAAATTACTAAAAGAAATAAGAAATTGCAAATATTATCTTCAAACTTCTCTGGTGATGAAATGTTGCACAACAAATTAGCACTACTTGTCACAATCATGGAATTTTGGTGGTATTCTGCCTTGGGTTAAAGGGGGCGGGAGGTTGTCGATACATGTTTTCTTCTTCTTGTTCTTCTTCTTCTTCTTCTTCTTCTTCTTCTTCGATATAAATTCTAAAACAAAATATATTTTACATTTACGTATAAATTATGGACCATTTTCATCATCGCGTTTCATGGGCCAGTATCTCCAAACCAAAACTATATCCATCTTAATAGGTTGTGACAAACATTTTTTGACACAACTTGTACTTCCGACAATAACATATTTATACTCTCAAGATAACATACATAAAATTCACACAACAACAGACTTGTACATTCTTATGGGTAGTATACTTCCCACATATGGCAACTTATACTTCATGCAAAATGAACATGTACTTTATGTATAGTGTAACATATACTTTCACACAGTACTACAACCAATACTCCCAATGAATCATGTACTCCCGTGTGCTGCAATCTGTACCGTGGGGTACAACATGTGCTTGCATGGTGTAATGTGTACTCTAGAGTCTAATGCAACCACCCCTCCTGATTTTAAATGAATCCCCATCCCACAATGAAAATTTTGTAGGTGTAACTTTACTGCTAGATCTAGAGATGGTTCGGTCAGTGCATTGTACATATGTGTTAGAACTCAGTTGATGAAAATTCCAACATGTATGCATCATTGGTAGCATTGATGTAGGGTCTATGGAGAAAATAACTCAACCACGACTCCATGACCCATCATCCATTGTCCCCGACGCTTGAAGAATGGCGACAAAGTTGGTGCAAGTAGAGGAAGTGCTAGTCACTTGCCAGTGCCCAAGGATGGCGATAAATCAAAGAACACGGCATCAGAAGTTGCTAGTAGTACAAGCCGAGTGAAGAATGAAGACACCGACGATTCACATGAGAAGGTCAAAAGGATAGCCAGCCACCTGACTCCTGAGGTTGATTGCTCTGTTGCCGACTACAACATCGCATTGGCCAAGCTAGATTTACATTCCCAATTATCCATGTGTCGGGAATTGTTGCATGGAAAACAAAAAAAAATACGCACACGCAATGATCTATCCATGGAGATGCATATCAACGAGGAGGAGAGTGTGTCTACGTATTCTCGTAGACCGTAAGCGGAAGCGTTTCACAATGCGGTTGATGTAGTTGAACTTTCTTCGCGCTCCAACCGATCTAGTATCGAACGCACGGCACCTCCGCGTTCTGCACACGTTCATCTTGGTGACGTCCTCCGCCTTCTTGATCCAGCAAGATGGCGAGGTAGTAGTTGAGTTCTATCAGCACGACGGCATGGTGATGGTGATGTGATCTCCGCAGGGCTTCGCCTAAGCACTATAGAAATATGACCGAGGGAGTAAACGGTGGACAGGGGCGCCGCACATGGCTAAGACAATGTTCTGTGTGCTTGTGTGGCGCCCCCTCCCAACATATATATAGGTGGGAGGGGAGGGGAGGCAGCCAGGCGCCCTAGGGCTTGGCGGCCGCCTCCTAGAGGCCCTGCCATGCCCTGCGCCCCCCTTTCCATGTATGCACAAGGGGAAGGGAAGAGGGGGGAGAGGGAAGGAAGGGGGAGTCCTACTCCGTACTTTCCTTTCCCTTCCCCCCTTTTCTTCTCCTCCTCCCATGGCCAGCCCCTTGTGGGCTGGTGTGTTCCCTTACTTGGCCCATAAGGCCCATAGGATTGTCGGGGGTGCCCGAAACTCTTTCCGGTGACCCGATACCCTCCGGAACACTTTCGGTGTCCGAATACCATCGTCCTATATATCAACCTTTCCCTCTCGACCATTTTGAGACTCCTCGTCATGTCTGTGATCTCATCCGGGACTCCGAACAACATTCGGTCACCAAATCACATAACTCATATAATACTATATCGTCAACGAACGTTAAGCGTGTGGACCCTATGGGTTCGAGAACTATGTAGACATGACCGAGACACCTCTCTGGTCAATAACCAATAGAGGAACCTAGATGCCCATATTGGCTCCTACATATTGTACGAAGATCTTTATTGGTTGAACCATTATGACAACATAGGTAATTCCCTTTGTCCATTCGTATGTTACTTGCCCGAGATTCGATCATCGGTATCTTCATACCTAGTTCAATCTCGTTACCGGCAAGTCTCTTTACTCGTTCCGTAATACATCACCTCATGACTAACTCCTTAGTCGTTTGCTTGCAAGCTTATGATGTGTATTACCTAGAGGGCCCAGAGATACCTCTCCGATACTCGGAGTGACAAATCCTAACCTCGATCTATGCCAACTCAACAAACACCTTCGGAGATACCTCACCGGTACAACAACGTCCTAAACAAACGGTTTAAAACCCCGTTCCGCGACGGTATTTGGAACCGTCGCCAAGTGAGTGTGGGCGATAGGGGGGTCCTTCCCACACGACCCAGAAATCGTCGGGATAGGCCCTCCTGGCACCCAGGCTGGGGCTGTGTGTGATCGGGCGAGGCATGGAAACCCAATCATTTTCGTAGGTATGTACATCCCACACGGTGAATCCCAGAAATCATTTTCGTAGGTATGTACATCCCACACGGTGAATCCCAGAAATCATTTCCATAGGTATGTACATCCCACACGGTGAATCCCAGAAATCATTTCCGTAGATGTGTACATCCCACACGGTGAATCCAGAAAATCATTTCCGTAGGTATGTACATCCCACACAGTTCTTTGTGTGGAAACGTTTGTGCAACGTGGCCTAATGCAAACAGTTCACTGTCGGAATCCGTGTGTGATTGTTAGTTGATCGAACACTCCTACTTTCTAGAAACCGTGCGGGTTGTTTGAGTTCATCGCCCACGGTGATGTCTGAGTAACCGTTTGCAATAGAAAACCCCAATAAGCAGGGTAATTAGCATATTATTGATAATCCATGTACTAATCAAACTGATATTTCTTATAAAACACACCAGATATTTCATATCTGTATAAAAGTAACCAGGATTTCATAATCGAAGCCAGGCAAGACGATGCGCCAAGATATTTTATATTGCATCCCACACGATTCTTTCTAGTAAACTATTTGTGGTATACCTGATTTTTTATTATGTTTTGAAAGACAAAATGGTGTTACAGAGGGAAAGGATGCATGGTGTTTGAATTGCTAGAACATTTACGTACAGTGAACATGCAAATAGTACATGAGTGTCGTGTTTAAATTTGGAATTATTCCGGGTTCGTTTGGCATTTTCATGCATCAATTGAGTTTCTGGGCATTTATTATGCATAATTCAAATTTGAACTACAAGCACATTCTCGAATGCACCAAAGTTTGCTAAAAAATCACATGTGTGTCTTTGGATGAATTTATAGGTCCCATGCAAGAAATGGGAATAAAATTCGAACATCTGGGTGTCGTGGCTCGGCCAGAATGATTGAAAAACTTGGTTTTTTAATTCCTGTAAATCCAAAACACGGTTGAAAATCATAAAACTTGGCATGGTGTCATGACATGGCACCAATATGCTGTAGTAATTTTTTTGGCCGAATTGGGACAAGTTTTGGTGTAAACTTCTTGCAAACCGGAGCTTTCCTCAAGAAGGCTCCTCGTTCCGAGAGGGAACGTGTCACCTCCGTGTGCGAAACGACGTGCGTACACTACCTTCTCCTGCCTTAATTTTTGTACATGGGCAGATTAGACCAAATAGAAGTATCGTGCTAAATTTTGGAATTATTCCGTGTTCGTTTGACCTTTTTATACATTAATTGAGTTTCCGGGCATTTAATATGCATAATTCAAATTTGAACTACAAGCACATGCTTCAGTGCACCAAAGTTGTTTGAAAAATCACATGTGTGTCCTTGGGTGAATTTATAGGTCCCATGCAAGAGATGGGAGTGAAATTCAAACATCTGGCGTCGTGGTTCGGCCGGAAAGATTGAGAAAGTTGGTTTTTTAATTCCCGTAAATCCAAAACATGCCCGAAAATCATGAAACTTGGCATGGTGTCATGACATGGCATTGACATGCTGTGGTAATTTGTTTGGCCGAATTGGGACAAGCTTTGGTGTAGGCTTATTGCAAACCGGAGCTTCCCTCAAGAAGGCTCCTGGTTCTGAGAGGGAACGTGTCACCTCCGTGTGCGAAATGACATACGTACACTGCCTTCTCCCACCTTAATTTTTTACACAGACAGATTAAACCAAATAGAAGTATCGTGCTAAATTTTGGAATTATTCCGTGTTCATTTGGCCTTTTTTATACATTAATTGAGTTTCTACGCATTTAATGTGTATAATTCAAATGTGAACTACAAGCACGTGCTCCAGTGCACCAAAGTTGTTTGAAAAATCACATGTGTGTCCTTGGGTGAATTTCTAGGTCCCATGCAAGAGATGGGAGTGAAATTCGAACATCTAGGCATCGTGGCTCGGCCGGAAAGATTGAGAAACTTGGTTTTTTAATTCCTGTAATTCCAAAACACGCCTGAAAATCATGAAACTTGGCATGGTCTCATGACATGGCACTAACATGTTGCGGTAATTTTTTTGGCCCAATTGGGACAAGATTTGGTGTAAGCTTCTTGCAAACTAGAGCTTCCCTCAAGAAGGCTCGTGGTTTCGAGAGGGAACGTGTCACCTCCGTGTGCGAAACGACATACGTACACTGCCTT